TGTGAAGCAGAATCAGGAAGCTCTCTTTGAAATGATCTCTAAGACATATTGTTAAGTGAAAAAAAACAAGGTGCAGGTCACTTACTAAAGCACAATATGATTTGGTTTTAAAGAATGTAGGAAAACAGTATATTCATATATCCTTGTATATTATTGTTAGTAAGGATATGTAAGAAATTAACAATAATAGTTACCTAATGGAAAGAATAAAAAGGAAACTAGGCAGATGGGAGACAGGAGTGGCAGAGAAACTCTTCACTAAATATCTTTTTATACATTTTTAAATTCTTGAACAATGTAAATTTAGTATTACCAAAAATAAATTAATGAATTTCCAAAATTTAAAATGTGCTGTCAAAAGTGCCTACATTTCACTATGGAGTCATTATGCTTTGGATTACAACCAACCATGTGTATTTGCAAGACAGTTGATTAAATTTAGAGAGTCAGCAGGCACAGAACAAAGCTGCATTAATTTTCTGGTTCCTGCAGAGACCAACCCCAGACACTTGGCCTCATTAACACGGTGCTCTAATACCTTAGTTAGCTGGTCCTAAATGACTTCTACAGCTCCTACCAAAAGGCATTATCCTCCTATCCCATTAGTATAGTATTTTATTATTTCTATCGTTATAGAAAATGCAATGGCATTTTGTCACAAATTCTATACATAATCATTTTTTCCAATATCTGCGTCAGCCCAACCTCATTCAATACTGAGTCGTTTGTTATAATTTTACAAAGGCATGTAAACAACAAAAATAGCATATCTATACAACCATAGACACAATAGTTAGCCAAAAATATCTAATTATGAAGGCATGTTTAGTTCATACTTTAATTTTTAACTGTGAATGTCCTTGTGTGAATATTTTTATGATGAATCAACTACATTTTCAATACTATTTAAATTTATGTAAATACTGTGTAAGATTATAGAGCTCAGGATGAACTATGGGTATTCACATAAGCCAATATTTTTCACACTCATCAATATGGCCTACTGTATTAGGAAGGTATGACAATTGGCATTTTAAAAACTTAACAGCCTAAACACTCTTGTTAGCTTAGCAACTTC